GTCGACTTTTTATGCCTGATTCGCATGAGAACATCTGGGGCCTTTGCCACATTTTGACCCCAACCTGTCCAGTGAAATATCTCTTCTGTTTGGGTGCAAGGCTCTTTGATAGTAGGCACTCTTTGTCTTGCTGCAATTATGTGGGTGTTCAAATTAGATTGGGTTCTCTGGAGCCTAGTTTCTGGGGTTGAGGTAGATGTTTTGTTTCCTCTCAACTGGTGTAGGAGTTGACATCAATTAAATGGGGCCAGCTATGCTTCATACCTGACTGGAGTTGGCATTCAAATGGGTTTATTTTGGAAATCTCTCCAATCATAAGTCATCCCTAACGCATCTTCCATGAGTACCTGGAGAATGCTAAACATTTTTGCCAGGTGTTGTGGCCCCTAAGAATTGTACCAAGATAGACAAATGAAGTTTTGAAAGAGCAACAGGAACTGCAGTGAGATTCAGGGTTGTGGTTTTGAATGTTTCATGCACTGGGTCCAGGGGACGCTTGACTTGCCTTTCTTATCCTCCCCTTGGGAGTTCCCCGTGGCCATGGCACACTAGCAGGGGCTCAGGCTGGCAGCATGGTTCTACATTTGTGGCCTCTGAGAGTTCCCAGTTTCTTCTGAGTCTCTAGAATACATAGGTCTTAACATTTGTGATTGTCTAGATCCTGCATATTGGAAAACAGAAATCTCAGAGTGGACCAAGGCATATTAGATAGGAGGTCATATCCAGCCGCCAATGTCTATTGCTGTATGAGTGAATAACTTCGATTTCATGAACACTGTTTCTCAATTTGTTGGTTAAAAAGAAGAAAATCCAGAGATGATTGCTTTAAAATGTTTTATAAGTCAGGGGTGGTGGTGCATGCCTCTAATCCCAGCCCTCTGGGAGGTTGCAGCAGGAAGATCACAAGTTCAAGCTGAGCTTGAGTGACTTGGGGAAACCTTGTCTCATACAAAAATATATAAAGGGTTGCGGATGTAGCTCAGTGTGAACGTTCTGGACTCAATATCCCGTGCTTCAAAAAATTGCTTTTTATGTATATTTCTGTCTCCTGAATACTTTTAAACACCTTCAATAAGGTTAAGGCATATAGGTCAATTGTCTTTGGGCCCCAGTGAGTTGTTTTCTGGGGGTGCATGTTTGTGTGATGCTAAAAGTCTCATGAAATTGACCATGCATTGCAGATATGGATGTTGGTTCAGATATGGGTATTGTTTTGTTATGGGATATGAGGTTTCTCTTAAGATTTTTCCTGCAGAGAAGTTCTTGTTTGATCTAAGCTCCTGAATTTGTTGTCATTTTCCTGAACAACTAGACTTTGATTGCATGAATACAATGTCCAATACTTGGCCAGTTTTTCCATCTAATATTGGGTATCAGGAAGCTCAGAGCCAAACATGTAAGCCCGTTTTAGCAAGCAGGTGTGTGGGAAATCTTAGTGTAGATTTGAAGCTCCCTTGTTCTGTCCTGATTTTCTTTCTTTTGCCACCTTGTTTGATTTTTGCCACTGTGATGTACCTCCTGCTTCTTTGTTGAGGCTGTTTAAGCTGTACCACTGACCAGTTAGACATATCCCTTGAACTGTAGTCTGTGTTCTAAGTTTACCCAAACATGGTGGACACTTAACTTTACCTGGCCTTATTTCCTGCTTTGTTGGGTGCTAAGGAGCTCCAAGGGAAAGCTATGACTCATGTCTATTAACAAGATTCGTGTGTGTGTGTGTGTGTGTGTGAGAGAGAGAGAGAGAGAGAGAGAGAGAGAGAGATATTTCTAGAGATTCTTCTGTAGGAGGAATATTAATGCCCCTTTAAGGGATGACAAATTCCAGCAGAATGGGATAGAACTGGCTGCAGGGTCTGAATAGCTCAAAGAATAGTGGCTCAAGATAAAGTGCAAGCCTGCTTTCAGTTTCACACTAAGTGCTCCTCCAAACTTGGAAGGTCCTTGCTGCAGGAGGCCTGGGATCCAGTGTCAAAGGTCAGACTTTTAGCAAGGAAAAGCATTTGCTCACTGTATGCTGATTGAGTTCACTGGCATTGAGCAGATGGGGAAAGCAGAGTGGTTTAGCAAATTGTTGTGAAGTTTGTCCTGATCCTCAGAGGGCCAAGGCCTGTTAGTGGTCAGTTCACAAGTCACTTTTTTACCTATGATTGTGCAGAAGCAAGGAAGTTAGTGCTGGGCAGCCTGCCAATTGTCAGAGTGACCTTGCCTGTGATTCATGACCTGGGATGCCCAAAGGTTTACCTATGAACCCTCCTAATTCTCGTCTAGAGGGAAGCAGAGAATGTATGTAATTAAGCCATTAACTAAAATTTATTATTTCCTTCCTCTTTGAGCAACAATACCTCTTCATGAAAGCACATGTGTTTGTATGCTTGTCTTTCCCTGTGCTCTACAAAGTTTTTGTGGGTAAGGATCACATCAGTCGCATTGATTAGCTTTGCACGGCTGTGGTATAGTATCTGATGTTACTTGAAAAGGGTCAAAAGTTTATTTTGGCTCATGGTTTTGGAGTGCAATTCCATGGTCAGGCGGTCTCTTACTGTGTGTCTGAGATGAGGCAGAACTTCATGGAGCAAGGGTGTGGTGGAGCAAAACATGGCATTTGGGAAGCAGAGGGAGAAGGAAAGCACCCAAGAGAAAAGAGTTGCTTACTAGATAGAGCCCTTAACTGCTTGTGCTCATGATCTGCTTCATTCAAACAGGCCCTGCCTCCTAATAAGCCCACTGAGCTATGAACTCAGTAGATTAATCCACTGATAAGGTTAGAGCCTTCCTGGCCCAATCACTTCCCAAAAGTTATCAGCTGGCAGCAAAGTCCCTAGCACATGGCTTTTAAGGGACATTTCAGATCCAAACTACATTTGTCAATCCTATGTCCCCGCACAGAACTCACTAAAAAAAAGGACCATTGTTGAAAATATTTCTAGAATAAACAAGGAAATGGATTCAAATTGAGAGAATCAACTACAATCAAAGCTTTTTATCTGATTGGTTCCCTCTTTTAACCATAGAAGAGAAGGATTTGTCCTTGGTTTGGGGGAATAGCTTTCTCGCTGATGTATTAGAAAGAGCATGAGATCCATAGTTGGTTTGCCATGGATTTAATCTTGGGTCCAACGTTTCCTTTCTGTGTGGCTTGAACAGTTCATTTAGTCCCTTGATACACCAATTACCTTATGTTAAAGTAGGGATAAAATGTACCTCACGCAGTTGTGAGGATTAAGTGAAAGCTAATCAGACAGCATAGGCAATCGGTGTCTACTACATTGCTTTGCTGGAGTAAATACCCAGGAAAGCATGCTTCTTAGTTATTTTTTAAAACCATCACATTGAGGTATGGTTTTAAACACTTCTTATATTAGTCAGAATGTGCAAAACACTCCTGTATTAACAGCTGAACCCTAAGAAATCAGTGGCACAAGAAAAAAAGGTTTATATTTTGTTCCCCAGAAATTAAGTGCTGATACTATTGGTCAGGCAAACTTCTGCATAGTTTTCCTCCAGTAAGACTTCTTCCCTGGATACCGCTTCTCCAGCACGGCACTGAAGATCCTTACAAGGGAGAGTGAAAAGGTTGCTTTTAAGAGATTCTTTTTGTGGACCAGTCCTGCATGTGGTTGGTATCCCTTTATTACAGGTCTCCAGCATTTGCCACATGGTCCACTCTAGATGCAAAGGGGCTTGGAAACAGTGTTCTGTGTATACAAGAGGAAAAACTGGAACCTTGTGACATACAGAGACATATCTTGGCCATACTTTCCTTCTCTCATTTAAATCTGCCGTCTCTAGGAATCTCAATCATTTGTTCCCAGGATCACTTGGTCTATCGGCATTTTCCCAATAGCAGACATTCTGTGTGTGGTGCGAGATTATATAGGTGTTCAGTGGAGGATGATGGTGGTTTGATGAGATCTCTGAGCATCAAGGAGAGAGGAAAAGGACAATGCAGAAGATCGACAATATGTGCAATGGGTCTGGGGGGCCAGCCACTAGGCTGGTGTAAGATTATTTTTGCTGCTACCTCATTCCATGGGCTGGCTGCTTCTGGAATACCTTCCTCTTTTTGCTCTCTGCTCATGGAGAAGCTTCTGTCCTTTACAGCCCTGTTATCTCTTCCCCTGCTTTTTCCTTTGGTCCCTCCAGAATATAGCAGGTTCCTCTATCCCTGCTCACATAAGCATCTCCTAATTGGCGTCTCCATTCTACATCCCATATCTCTTTCCGTGTGAGAATTTATCATCCAAACTCAGGGAATCTTTGCAGAATTGAGTGAGCACAACTTACCCTCAGGTGGCGGATGACTTGAACTTTAGGTTAGAGGGAAAAGCTTTAAACACTATCAGCATTGATTGTACTATCCTCCAGGTGTTTGATTATCTGATTCCTCACAAATTCTCTTCTTAGTCAATGAAAAATGATTTTCATACTGCATTTACAGGGCAGCAAGTGGATACGGAAAGTGTATTTTGTACCAGCTGCATTTTTCATATGTTAATCTATTTAATGATATTTCTGTGAGGTGGATATTTTTCTCTATATTACAGATGGGGAAACTGAGACACACAGATATTAGGCATGTGACTCAAGCTTACATAGCTTTGCAATGCTAAAGGATGACTCTAGTTTTATTAGACTGAAGCAAATGCTCTTTCTGCTGCATCCCAGAAATCCTCCACATTGCAGGAAGCAATTACAGAGGCATGCCCCAGCATTCATTTTTCCTGCTTAGAATGAGACGTTGCTGTTTACTTTCTCAGAAAAGAAGATTGAAATCAATGTAACTAGCCTTATTAACTTTTTAAAGGGGGGGGGGCACTGCAGATGCCATGCCTTTCCTGAGAGCACCAAAGCTAATATAAAAATCCAATTTATTTGCCTTTTTAAAAAAAGTCTTCTGTAGAGTTTAAAATTCGAATCTGTAAATGAAGAGAGGATGAGACAGGGGTAATGAACCAAGTCTCAGACACGGATGTATTTACCCATCTCTCTTTTGTCTGCAGGAGGCTGCTCCTTTGATGAGCACTACAGCAACTGTGGCTATAGTGTGGCCCTGGGGACCAATGGATTCACCTGGGAGCAGATTAACACGTGGGAGAAACCAATGCTGGACCCAGCAGTGCCCACAGGTATGTGATCCATCAGGTTTGGGGCTGTAATGCTGACAGTTAGCTTTTAAAATGAGTCACAGGGGAAGAACTTTCCTAAGAGTGAACTGTCAGAGAAGGCAATAGATAATTAAGTATTGAGTTCTCCATCGCCAGTGTGAACTCTTTAGGATGTAGTGAGAGTCACATGTCACCTAGATTTGGGGGCCTTCAGGATTTCCTTCAACTTTGATATTATAAACTCTAGCTATATATAAGGCATCACTAAGTTTTGCTTGGATGTTTGATAGCAGTGGGATTTTAGGAGAAGAAAGGACTGCAGAAGAATTTGATGTCTCTTCTTTACTCCAGGCCACACAGACACAAGTTTGTGCCTCCTAAAATCAGAATATTACTCCTAGTGATAGTATCCCAGTGTCCTGAATACCAAGCTTATCCTTCATCCATGGGATTGAAAGCTCAATGTAATTCTTGATGGATACTTGTATGAAGCAAGTTCTGAGAGATACACCTGATGTTCTTTGGGGGAAGTACTTGTTACTCAGGGAGAACATCTTTTCAGTGGGGCATACATGGATTAGATGAATCTCAAAAAGACCTTTCTAGTGATATAATCCAGAAAGAATTGCAGCTCTTGGAAAGTCAAGATCACCCTGTGGTAGAGTTGGAAAGATAATGGTTGTTGGAGAAGATAGTCATTCTCTACAGGTTTTCCCTGACCAGAGGCTCATGTAGCCCACATAAAATTTTTGTTTTCCACCATCCTTCTTAAAACTTTTTCCTGCTTTCTTTTGTTAGCTTACTGTGCCCTTTAAATGCTGAAGCTCTTTGAGTTTGCTTAATACTCTTCCCACAGATGGCCTCAGCCACTCTCTGTACCGTCTGATTCCAACATTGTTTCTCCAGCCTGCATACTTCTTAGGAACTTTAGACCTACACAGTCCCTTACCTAGCTTCCATGTGGTCCAGACAACTTCAAAAGCATGTTTTTGAGATGCAGCTAAGCTGGAGGCATAGAAGATGGTCAGAAATGTCTAGGGAATGGGATGACCATCCTGATTGTGTTTGACTCTAAGAGGCCATTGGTAGCTTGATATATTACTATTAAGGGTATCATTGCATCTGTTTCTCCTGAGAGTTTCCAAAAGCCTTAGATATAATAAAGCTGTGCTGTGATACAGAATTTCTGATTGCTCTGAGAATAGCCGAGATCTGTTGCAATCTCTAGGCTCCAAAGCTGGTCCTACCTCAACCTCCATCTGCATCCAGTTCCACTTCCCCTGTGCTCAATTTCCTCTGGCTTCTCTGTCAGTTTCCAGAAGAGTGTGACTTTGCTGCCTCAGGGACTTGTAGCATCCGGCTTCTCCATGGAACTCCCTCCTCCCCTTTATTGCCCAGTACTTCCTCTGCCTACCTCAGTCTGGACCAGCTCTCTTTGTAATGATTCCTGCCACGCAGTGCATTTTCTTCTGGTGACAGGCATCATAGCTGGTGTTATTTGTTCATTGTGTTCTTTGCCCCCAGATGAGATGTTCCTTGCAAGTAGAAAGCATGACAGGGCCATTCATAGCTTTATCTTCAGTGCCTAATGCAGTGTGTCATGCAGAGTGTGTACTAAATGACATCTTGTTAGAAGGATGCATGGGTGGATGGGCAAATAGTCTTAATCAAGTGGTTTTGTAATGCAGCAATGAAAGATAAACATTATTGAAGGCCTCTGGGCCCTGTTCTAACTGATCACATATTTTTTTTCCTTTGCTACTGTCCTTCCCATATTACAGATTAGAAAATCAAGATTGCAAGCAGCTGAGTGAGACTGTTGTTTTCCCCCAAACCAGTGTCTCTCCCCAAAGACATGATGCTTGCTTCTAATCTTAATTTTTTCAGGCTCTCATTACAGCAGAGTGTCATTTCATAAATATTGGATTGTGCTAATACAATCTTCTGAGCTTTTCTAAATAGAGGCATTTGATAATGATCACTGAAATTATTCTGTCATGATGTGCCCATGGATTTCAGTGGCTCTGCATGCTGCTTAAGCAGAGAGGCATGAAAGTGAATTTGGATTAGGTGAAACTGTTTGTCCCTCTCATAGGCATAGGCTGAAATCTTATTTCTTCTGTACATTCAGTATTTTCTATCTTTTCCAAAATCTAGTTTGAGTCTATTTATTCAAATGTTCCATAGCCTTTTATTGATGATCCCCATTTATGTGACAAGGTGTGGATTATATTTGGCCTAAGTGAATCCAGCTATGTCATTTTGACATATAATCCCTTCTACAACTTGGCATATAGATATAAACTTAATTCCTCACCCTGGCCTGTCCTACATGATCTAGTGTCATTTCTGAGGCCCTTTCTTCTCTCTGAAAATGCTTCTCACATCATGGCTGTTTTTGATTTGCTGGGTAGTTCAGTCTTTCCTGGCACAGGACCTTTGTACATGCTGTTCTATCACCTTTCACTAGATGATTTCTATAGATCTTAACTCACACAAATTCCTGCAAAGATCCCTCCTCATCTGTTGATCTAAAAACCATCTCCACTCTTAATCTACTTATAATATCTTGTTTTTTGTTTTTCAAAGCCCTTGCTATAGACATATTTACAGAGCATCTTATTCCAATCTTATATCATAGCTGAGCAATCCTGAGCCTGTTTCTTTTAAGTTATCTTTTAACTTGGGGACCACAGTGGGAGTTCAATGGAGGATACCTCTGTGTGTGTGTGTGTGTGTGTGTGTGTGTATGAACTCTCTGCATAGGATAGGGCTCAGGCAGTACCGGATTACCTAAATTCTTTTGATTCCTACAGTAGGTCTAAGTACATTTTAGAACCTACCCCTCCTTCAAGTTCCCCTGTACCCTGAGCTACTTTTCAGGAGAGCTTCCTAGCAGGTCATCAGCCTTGGCCTTATAGGCCAGAGGGCTTTTCACTTCCCAGGAGGCATCACTTCCTGGAGAGCTTGGATGCCTCCACCAGCTCAGCCCCTTAACTCAAATGCTGCATACTGCCATCTTCCTCTTCTTTCTCTAGAAAAGATCTCAAGCTAGCATTCTAGACTTAAGACATGATTTCTGCCTTGTAATCTGTACTGGGGCTGCCACAGAGGAATGAGGGTTACCACACCCACAAACTCTTCCTCTGGGACACTGTGGTGCCTATGGTGCCCATAGAGTTGACAGCAGATAACCTTATCTTTTTCACCATAGCAATCTTGACCTGAAGCCTGGAATTTAGAAGGACCTGGTGGGGTGGATAGAAAATGCAAGTGCTATAGGAGTCCTTTTCAAGAGGCTGAACTCAAAATACCATGGGTTGGAAAGTTCCTTCTAATGCTGTTTAGCATTGCTTTAAGGATCAGGAATAGAGTTGAATCTCAGGTAGTACGTCTCGGTGCAAAAGAAATGATGTTATTTCTCCCTTTTACATCAAGTTGACGCTGGTCCTAGCCCCTAGGAAGTTTATGTGTTAAAATTAGGCACTTTTTTAGTTACTTTTCTTGTTGCTGAGACAAAATACCTGACAGCCAAAGTTAAAGGAAGCAAAATTTATTTAGCTCACACTTGATAGAGCTTTCAGCCCATAATTGACTAATTGCAAGACAGGGTGGCATATAGCAGAGGAACAAGCATACATGGCAGTGGAAGCCAGCAAAAGCAACAAGAAAAGACTAACCTTTTATTGTTCCTTATGTTGTATGCAGTCTACCAGGATTAGGGCAGTGTCAATCCAATCAACAGTGATCTAGTACTCACCTTTCCTTCATCCCAGTACTGTTAATCCTAGCATTGAACATGAATCAATCACAAAATCTAGATTCGGCTACCAAAAAAAAAAAATCCAGCTAAAAGTGCTTGAGGCTTTATGGGGCATCTAGATACAAACCATAACATTCTACACCTGGTCTGCCAAACACACATGTGCATTCCTTTATGAAAAAGGCATTTAGTCTGTTTCTAATAGTTCTCAAAGCCCTATAGTTTCAGCATGGTTGAACAGTTCAAGTCCCAAGTCATCTCTGACATCTAAGGCAAACTCTTAGTTGTGAGCCCCATACAAATGAAAAGAATGTTAAACACTTCCAACACTCAATGGCCATTGTGGAGGTCAGTCTGGAGATTTCTCAAAAAGCTGGGATTAGAAGTCCCATTTGTTCCAGCTATTCCACTTCTAGGCATATTCCCAGAGGAACTGAAAACATCATACCACTGTGTTATATATGCACCCATGTTTATAGCAGCACAATTTGTAATAGCCAACACTCATTGGCACAAGATAGACATTTCCATTTCAAAAATTACAAACAGAGAGATACAAAACAGGGACCAAAGCAAGTCCAAAATCCAGCAGGGCAAACATTAATTGCTATAGTTCCATGTGCAACCCCTGAGGCATTGTGTGGCAACATGTGAACTACAAAGGGTTTGAGGGGCTCTGCCACTATGACACTCCCAGTGGTTGTAGCTCCCATGTCTTCTCTTTTGGGCCTGCTCTGTTCCTTCCTTGCAGTTTTCCTCAGATAATTCACAATCTTGGCTTCTCCAAACTTATGGACTCTCCATTGCATCTTTGGCTTCACATAGAATGTCACATAATGCCCTTTCAGGAGCATGCTGCCTGGCCTCCCAGACCTTTTTTTGAAATCTGGATGGAAGCCTTCCTGATCCCACAACTTTTCCATCCTGAATACACCTAACACCAGTGCCACATGGAAGATGCCAAGATCTGCCTTCAGCAGGAGAAGTAGCCAAGATTTCCTCTCTCTTGGCTGTAGGAGTCCAATGCCTAGATTACTGTGCACTGTGAATCTAATTCCAAGGAGCAAATTCTGTATGCTGTCACCATTCTGGAACATGGTGCTCTGTGGCTTTTTTCTCAGAACAAAGTCTTTCACTTTTGCAATTTTGAGTGTGCAAAGGATGGAGTCCTGCTGCTTCTTATGATAACTTCAGGCCACCTTTTCTATTGTTCTGTTTCTTCCCAGCAGTCAAGATCTCCTCTGCTCTGTCTTTGCAT